TGCTGAATTGTTAGGCACTGGCAAATTTCTGCTGGCATATGACTTTGGCTTCATAATCTCTTCAGGTTTTCACATCGAGTTTCTTTCTACATAGTATATTTAAAAACCAGCCTCTCTTACTCATCACTAGAAATATCTATCTAGATTTTCAAGTTTTAATCCACCATTTCTTATTTCAAGTTTTCTTGAAATTTGAAGTTTTCTGTTCTTGTCAAGTCCTTCCCATTGTTCTACCTATATGAACTACTGCAAAATTTGCTTCCCTGTCTTTCCATGCATGTCTCTACCAGCTACCCACATCCTGATCACATCAGACCGACCTCACTTCCAAAGTTTTCCACAGCCTGTTTCACCCCCATCTTCACTCCTAGCACCTACAGGCAATAATGCAAGTTCTACCTCTGACTACGGGATCTGATATCTCAGACCAGTTTATCTGTTTTTGAAGAAAACTCATTTGTGCTTCCCCATATTCTTCACTTCTACACCTCTCATGCTGCAAAAACTAATGTACTTCCTTAGATCCCTCTTCAAAACTCTCCCTCCTCACTGTGATGTTTATGAAAAACTTCATACAGTTTAGCCAGTTTAATCTCTTACTGTTAAGTCTATTAATAGACTAGAATCTATTACTATAATTGACCAGATAAACCAGAAGTGTTCCTCTGTTCCTTTATACCATCCTTCTGCATCCACCGTGGTTTGTGTTAGACTATAGTCTCTGGAGCAAAGAGCATCTTGTCTTACAGAACACAAAGCCAAGACAGAGGAGTCTATGTATGCCTTTGTTATGTGTATTTTTCAACACTGGAGAAAGTACTTTCATTTTAATTAATGTAGTCCATTTGATTCCATTTTGATTTCACTCTATTATTAGATATACAGGAAGCTGAACAGATGTGTATTAGCTCAGCCAATTTATCAACCTCAGCAAACAAATCAGTCAGGAAAAAAAAGCATTAAAGTCCTTTTTGATCTGCACTACTCAAAGCAGCGGACACAGGAAGGTGGGAAGCAGCTTCCACCACTGGGATTGCTGAGGGCTGTGCCTAGCAATTTGGATCAAGCACAGCTTTTTTGCTTGGGTAACAGCACCCTGTTCACCCTGGTAGGCACAATATCCACCCCACATGACTCGACACAGTCAGGAGGCTATAAAACTATGAAGGCTTTGAACCACCACTTCAGATTAGGATTGTATCTGCCTTTAGCTGAAGTTGCTTCTTAAAGGTGTTGACAGTCCAGTGCTGATGGGAGGAAAGATCTGAAGTTTCCCATTAATTTAATTAACATCCCCAAAAGTACAATTTTTATAAATTTTTTCACAGGAGCAACAAACTGAAAATCTCAAAAGATGTTAGAAAAAAGAGATGTCATTGGGTTAGTCTCAGAAAAATGAAAAGCAGAAGGATAAAAGTATTGCCAGGATACCAAGTAAATTATTTGTAATTCTCTTCATACTACATTTGTTCCATGGGCAAAGCTGTTAGTGAAAGTACCAACGAAGCAAATCCCTGACGGCCAGTTCTGAGAAGAGGAAGTTAACTAGTATGACAGACAGATCCATGCCCAGGAATATTTCAGCAGATGCTATCATGTGACTGAATTTTGCTCATCAGTTTTGATATGTTGACAAAGTCACTGACAGCAATCTTTTAACTAACTTCTTTTTTCTTTACCGTAACTCCATCTGTCTTTTGTGTAGACATAGCTAATGGTCTGTTAAATGAAGTTTGGCACTATCTCAATTTTCAGAATGCATCAGTATCCAAAGCCTCTCACTACTGCCCCACCTCAACAACTGCTTATTTACTTGAAAAGTAAGTGACCAGTCACAGGTTAATAATAAACACAACAGAATCTTAATAAACCTCTCTCATTTATAAGATCATGCCAGGTCTTCTGAATTTTTCAAATTGAACAGGCAACAAAAAATGAAAAATCTGTTCCGAGGCATGAGTAATTTAGGCGAAACTGGTTATTTATAAAAGCAAGAATACTTGACAAACATGAGCTTTCATCCATGATTGCTGACTGTTGCTATGCAATTTTTTCTTCTGAACTGATGTTTTTCAATACATGTTAGGAACTGCGCATAAAGAGCCTACCAGCAGTTTATTTAAGTATCAAATTTGAGCGTTTGCTGGCACAGGACCTCATCGTTGTCTCTGTATGACTGCAGTGTTTTGAGGTTAAGTAAGGCTGAATCTCATTACACTGGCCAGAAGTAGTAAAGAGTTGGACCTATTTCAACCACCCCTATTTGCCATCCTAAACAATAAAAAGTTATTGTGGTTCCTGTGATTGCTTTTTTAATTTATTAACTGTTAGACACTTCTTTAGACTTATCTCTGTGGTATAAAGAGTTAAGAACTTTGTTTAGTTCGTCTGTCCTCTCTTCTTCATTCTTCAAATGTTAACAAAAGTATTAAATATTAGAAGAGAAGGGGATGGAAAACACCACATTTTAAAACCATTTGAAAATGCTCATGCTGAGGACAACCACATAATGCAAACCAGGCAAAAATCCTCTGCAAATACCAATTAATTATTATCTGATACTTTAGAAAAATTTTGCTACTTTGTCAGCATCTCTTTTTTTTTTTTCCCAGAATAGAAAAACTAAATTTGATTATAGGAAGGACTCCTGCAATATAATGTGTATGAATACTCTAGAAATCCTTTTTATACTGCAGACTTGGAAGGTCATAGCACATAGCACCCTCTCCTGAAGTAGCAGCTGCTGCTGCTCTATAACGCATTCTCACAACCTGCAACTGATAAATTTATTATGTAAAATTTTTTTTTTAAAGGAAGGGAAAAGAAGTTCAAAAATTGCCAAAAATGATGAACAAACTAGTGTGAGGTAACGTTTCAGAAATTTTCTGACATTACAGACAATATTAAAAGATGACCATTTCCAGTTACTGTTTTACTGCCCCAGGCAGCAATGCAAGTCGCACTATTTCTCCCAGCTGTTGACTGGATCTGGTTATTGCCCTCAGTTTCTACGTCAGAAATACCACTCCTGATAAATCATGACCTACTTAACTGACATAATTATGGGCAGCGTTATAGAAAGCTGATTCAAGAGGCATAAAAGACCAGATCATTCTAATCCTTTTTTTAAAATTCTCTGTAACTTCATGAAACTCATATTACTCACCACTGTAGAGAGTAAAGAAGAAAGAAGGAAACTAAACTGATTTTACTGTTGAGAAATATCTTCCTTAGGGCTAGCAACTACTTAAGCCTCAAATAACTATAAGCTCACAGCAGGTCCAGTGCATTTCAACATGTAGCTATGTTTTAATTTCCTTAAACCACAGGACGTAAGTCACAGTTCCAGTAGTGTCTGGAGTGAGATATTCTGTGCTGATAATGTTTCCAAATGCATGGTATGCCACAGGAATTTCACAGAATCAAGAAGACGGTGCCCCTTTGCTCATATGGGGTTAACACCTTCAAAGGCAGTAGTTTAGTTGTCATTTCTGGGCTTAAATGACACTCACTCCTTTCTTTTTGAATAAGAGTATCTTGAACACCACTCGCCTCCAAAACCATTTCCCTTCTTCCTACTACCTTTATAATTTTTTCTAATTTCCTCTCACCAATCTGATGATGATTCTAGTTGCTAAAGACATGATGTGCTGCCCGTTCAAAACTCTTGCAGATTGAGCTTCTCCCATGGTGATAAATAGTCTTTTAAAGAGCATCCAAGCATGCTCCTCAGTCTCTTTCCCACCACATCACACAGGTACCAGCACAATCCCTAAAGAACATTCCCTGTTTGCACAGAACACTTCAGGTAATTCTGCTCCTAAAACTTTCTAATAGGTACCTTTGTCTAGAAATATTTGAACCTCATTATGGTAGTTACTATAATTATTACCTTAGCGTTCCAGTTGAGAAACTAAGTCACAGCATAAATGGGAACATGCACAGGATGAGGGAAAGCAAGGAACTCAAGCAGCTTTTACAGTTCACAATCCTGCTTAGGTGGTCATCTCTTCAAATTCCTTTCATTTATATACACCTTACCCTTCCAACAGTTAACAGTTAACCAGCTAGTGAATGAAAATTGTATTAAGCTACAGCCATGAAAAGCAAAAAGAAAGAAGCAGCTGTTTAAGAGTGCTCACAGACAGGTAAATCTGCATTTTGATGGCTAAAACCAGACCATGGCGTTATGTACTCGAGTTTAATCACTGACAACCTTTCTCATTTGTTATTCAGTGAAGGATATTCAGCAATTTTCAATTAATAAAAAAGTTAACCAGTTTTTCCTTTCCACCCAAGCACCATACCAAGCCTTCTCTACCACAGCTGCCTTGGGACCTACAATCAGCCCACAGAGTTAGTAGCTAAAGCAAGTACACGTGGGTTTTTTTCAGTTTGATTGCATTGTTTTACAGTAGCATTACTGTATTATCTTCTGGTAGGTAATATTTTTGACCATTCTATGCTGGCAAATCACTAAGTACCTATTTTACAGAATATAAACATCTATGTCGCATCTATTCAAGATATTTAAGGTGTCTCTGCTGCTCATTGTATTCTTCAAATTCACTGACAGATTGTTAAACTAAATCTGCCACTTTGTTTCTTTCTTTAAGCTTCTCCAGCCCTTTCACTTTCCTGTATTGATTCTAACATCTTTTCTTTATGTATTCATCTGACTAGAATGTAAGGGAGGAACAATTATTTGACCAGATTTTTCATGCACAGAATAACAAATATAATTATCTGAAAGGCAGCAATATGTACTAAGTTCCATCTACATAGAGCTTGTAAAACAATGTACTTAAAATTTGTATTGCTTATTTTATTTAAAAAAGATAAAACTCTCTATTTGCTAATGCCTGCTGGAGAAGTTGTGAATTTTACACTTCTTATCCTTCACAGATAAGATTTCCATAATGCTTCAGCAGCAGACGATACTGATACATTATAAAAACAAGACAGACAATTTATAGACCTATCATAACTCGTAAACTTACCTGCTTTCATGTCCTGGTTGAATCGACAGTATTTTGAGTGCTCAAGCAGGGGCAGACATCGCTCAATAGGCGTCCACACGTACGTCTCTGGACACAACAAGTCAGAGGGCCTGTACTGACCCTACAAAGGAGAAAAAGGAAAAAAAAAAAATATCAGTTGCACAAGAATCTGGCTACAACATTCCAGATTTTCCCATAAACAAGGAATAATTTTAATCTAATCTACACCAAATGAGTCAGAGACAGCTTAACTGAAATCACAGGCTTAGTTCTTTAGTAATTTCAGCACCACCTCAGGAATACAAACTTAACCTTGGCACTTGAAGAAAATATAAAATTAACGTAACACATTGTTACGGTATCCAAGATGAGCTAGAAAAATTTTGGCTTTGCTTACTGAAATTCTGTTTTTAAGTTATCCTCTAGAGTTCTACTGAGCTGGTGCTGACACTAAAAAACTCAGCACCTCCAAAAAGCAGCTGGTCTCAAGTGTTGGTAATTCTAGAAAAAAAAAATCTAACAGGAAAACCCCATGCTTAACAGTAAGCACAATGCTATTTTTACTGCATTACTGATGAAGCATTTTGTTCATTGCTACTTAAATACCCACATTTTCTTTTTAATTCATGGAGTTTTTCCTGGAATAGTTTACAGGTAATGACTAGTGAAATTCTACCATTTTTTAATTGATTTATTAAGAAGATATTCTTTGCAGACATTCCCAGAAACTAAATAGCCATAATTATTTTCCCTTTAGCTACACAGAAAATCACCACCTCAGCAATAATAACCTCCTCTAATCAGATCTTAATTTGATTTAAAATAAGATTATTCATTGGCCTATAACTTAAGTCAAAAAATCTATCTTTAGGTCATTATTCATTTCATCCATAACCTCTCAACATTCAGAGCCATATGGTAGCAATATCAGATTTTTTAAAACTGAAAATTCATTTCACGTATCAGTTTGAGAAACAGACACAGAACAAGTAGAATTTAAAAGTTTAAGGATCTCAATTATACAGGTCTTGAGGCAACTGTGAAAAGTCTGGGCATTATAAGAAGTCACATTGCAGTTGACACAATTAAGAGTTCTTCATAGCAATTACTTTAAACAGGTAATGAAGATGATCATCTCGTTATGAAGTTGATTTTTCTTCCAACGTCTACTATGAAACAATGCAAAGTCGTCTTGAATGAAACTGAGCAACGTTTGGGAAGGGATATAGATAATTACTGTGACTACAGTCTGGTGATAAAAACCCCATATTTTTAAGTCACATTCACAAGCTCAGCTAATCTGCCTTTAGACATATCCTTATGCAGCAACACTCAATTTTGGAAATCTTACTATTCAACTCTTCACAATATTGACAGTAGAACTTTTTTTATTATGTATTTCCCACCAACGGTAAATTGTTGAATAAGAAATGCAAAAGTTATCTCTGATAAAAACAAAGTCATAAATGTCCACGAGGAAAAAAAAAAATCCCTAAGCTTCATGCTAAAACTTGTCAAATACCTGATACATCTTTCCAAAACGAGTCTGTATGATTCTTACTTTCTCATTTGAAGAACATTCAGGATTGACTTGCAACTACCATTGTTGGTTTGGGTTTTTCTTTAATTAAACATAAATTTTAATATTAAAATTAAAACAATATTTCTCCAATTTCGTACAGAAGCTTAAACCTCAAGGCCTTAGAAAATCCTCTAAAGACAGAGAATAGAAATGACATTATTAAATAAACCACTTTGAAATGTTACACTATCTAAACAGAAATACTTGAAAGGTATGTGAAGGTAATGCTTAAAGTACACTTTCAGATGAAACAATTTAAGAACTTGGGGGGAAAAAAAATTCCTTTTCAGTCAGTTGCAGGTTGTGGGGTTTTTTTTTTTTT